TTTCGAAGACCCCTAAAAGGGAAACGAGCATTTCTTCAAATAAAGCTTTAAAACATTATCAAAATCAAGTTTTAATAGAGGAGGCAGAATGAAATTATGCTTCCCATTCCTCAAAATACGGCATGGTCAATTTCTAGGAGATGAGCAATTATGTGATAAGAAATATTTCCAGTAACTTTGTCTGACAACCTTGATGTAAGTCCCTCCAGTTAACCCTGTTGGGCCATTAAAATAGCCTGCTGTTTCTGTGACCCCTATCAGTTTGGTAGGCAATTTATACTCACTTCTGCAGGGTTTTTAGATGGAGGAAGCCAGGTATGTATACTCAAAAACTTTCAAACTGTTTTCCCTGGAATCTCAGCGCTCCAGAGATGCTTCCTGGGTTCCATAAATGTTTGCCTCAATTTTCATTTTTTAAACTGAAAACTCAAACTTTGTTTTAAAAAAAACTACATGGTAACCCAATGTTATATACAACATTTTAACAATTGTAGACTAATGCGTTAGGAGGTGCTACCAAGTTAATATATTTTTGCAATGATTTCAAATAAAGCTTCTCTTGTTATCTCACTGAATAAATCTGAATATCTTACAAACATGCCATTAATTAGGAAGACTATATAGCTCTGTACTTTTTAAAAAAATTTACCCTGGTGGTGCAGTAGTTTACCAAAAGGTCAGCAGTTTGAATCTACAAGCGCTCCTTGGAGACCCTGTGGGGCAATTCTACTCTGTCCTATATAGGGTCACTATCAGCCAGAATCGACTCAATGGTAACAGGGTATGCACATGTTCACTAATGTAAAACTGTACAAATGAATTATTTTTGCATACCTCTGTGAATCAGAATTTTATACTGAGCAACTAAAAGACAAAAATAAAAGTGAATACAAAGCTAGCACTATGACCTTATCCCCAGTTTCAATTTTGTATTTATCAACTGACGGACTTTATAAGTAAATTTTATAAACAATTCCATCTTGTAGATGACTCATGCAACCTCAAAATTTTTTTTTTAATTAAAAGCATTATACAGCGATTTTTGCAGAAAAGATATCATGAATGAAAATGTTAATTACTAGGTGACTAAAATGTGCCCGACCCAAGCCATGGTGTTTTCCACCGCCTCATATGCATGCAAAAGCTGGACAATGAATAAGGAAGCCCAAAGAGGTGATACATTCGAATTATGGTGTTGACGAAGAATATTGACTATACCATGAACTACCAGAAGAATGAACAAATCTGTCTTGGAAGAAGTACAGCCAGAATGCTCCTTAGAAACCTGGATGGCGAGACTCTGTCTCACGTACTTTGGACATGTTATCAAGAGGGACCAGTCCCTGGAGAAGGACGTCATGTTTGTTAAAATAGAGGGTCAGCAAAAAAGAGCAAGACCCTCAACAAGATGGACTGACATAGTGGCTGCAACAATGGGCTCAAACACAGCAATGACTGTGAGGATGGCGCAGGACCAGGCAACGTTTTGTTCTGTTGTTCTGTTGTACATAGGGTCACTATGAGGTGGAACCGACTTGATGGCACCTAACAACACAACATGCACATAAAGTCATAGGCTTCCACACTCATGTTAAAAGTTTGCTTAAACAAGGTTAAAGCTGAATTCAGTGCTAAGAAATACCATTACATCAAAAACCTTTCTTTATCTACAAATCAAAACCAATAAAATCCATAAGCCCTAGAAGAGACCAAAGGTCCATTTATTTCAAGAAGGGCCCTTATATCAAAATTCTACCTGTATTGTGCCTGAAAAATCACTGTTACAGAATCTATCCTGAAATAATTTATTGAATTCTTGAAAGAGCATTCTCCCCACTCTACCTCTCAGAAGAAATCCCAACTGCTGTACCAGTACCAGTTGCCATCAGTCAATTCCGATGTACAGCGACCCCACGTGTGCTATACTCTCAGGGAAAGAAAGACAACTAGAAGGATTGGAAACAATTAGGCATATATATTTTAGGACTGAATACAGCAATCAATGCAGACCCAAAAGCAGCAATCAGACATTTCTGCCACTTTTCAAGTGCTTACTGTAAAAGATGAAAACTACAGTGTTCAGGTCTCACAAAAGTTACTAAGCAAGAAACTGGCAGTTGCTTTGATTTTTTAAAGCTGTTCAGATACACTACATAAAAACAGTAGCTACCATGAATACAACTTAGGTTTTAAATCTCTGACTATACCTTTTTATTAAAAAAAAAAAAAAAAAAGGAGGGGACAGTAGAAGATGAGAAGGGAGTAAGTGAACGTGTTAATTTAACTGCAAAATAATAACAGGATATAACAGAGTTCTGAGTATCCAAAGTGACCAATCAGAGCCTAAACATAGCCGAATTCCATCCCAGCCCCAGCACGTTCCTACCACAAGAATAAAACCCTTCTTATCTTGTTCAGCCATGTGTCGCCTGCCACAAACTGCAAAACAGAGCAACGCCCAAACCAGCAAGTCTGATTTCAGCTGAGGACAGATAGACTCTGTAGTCAGAAGCACCACAATGAAAGAACTCTAACTCACACAGCTGGCCGGGGGGTTCTGCACACACTACAAAACAAAGCCATACCACATACACTACTTCAGACTTGAAAGGATCTTTTAAAAGCTACACTGCCACTGTTAATTTACCAATAGCTCCAGAATCAGCAAAATATACGTACAATACACTGGAGTTAGACAGTGAGAAAAGAGGATGAAGTAGGTAGGGCTGAGAGGAAGCTACTGACTATTCTATACTCGTAACTCTATTAAGGTCCCCCTGGCTCAAAAATACTACTAAACCAGTATTTCCAGACTTCACCCCAACATCTGGTTCAAGTCAAGGACAACTACTCTCCTAAAGAGCTTGATGTTTACAGAGTAAGATATTTACAGACTAAGACAGGTTTAAAAAAGAAGTAGTGGTCACATAAGAATATTTTTTGTTTAAAAAAAACCTAGTATGTTAAAAAAAAAAACTAGTAATAAATTCTGAGAAACAGGTATCCATACTGTCTCAGCAGCACTTATTAAATAAAGTTGGTTTTAAAGGGTCTTTTTCCACCTAAAAATGTCTAAAACCAGGCAACACCTGAACCAGTTCAAGGATGTCAATACCCAAACCAATCTGCAGGTTAATCTTAGAATACTTACCTTTTGTGCCTAGCGCAGTGCTGGGCAATGAACAGGCTTTCAATAACTGCATGCTAATTGAACGTCTATCCCTCATCCAAGTTATAAAAAGGGCACAAATCCCAAGATTTAATTTCTAAGATAATGAAAACATGAAGAAAAGCCTGGGAAGCAAAGTTGAAGAACGGATGCTTTTAGGTGATTTATGTGTGGAATAAGTTGGTGACCCTAAATTCTGTTTCTACAAAATTAGACACCTCTAGCATCACAATAAAAACTACTAACACCACCTTAGTTCCTAATCAGACTTTCTGTCTACAAGCTCAACAGAAAGAGTAGGAATTGAATAAACCAGGAAAACAATTACCCACACGCCTGTGAAGGTGCTTTCTCAGAAGTAAAATACCCTGAAAGGAGAAAGAAATGGGGATAACTAGAAGAAAGCACATTGAATGTGCTCTCAGAAAAATTAAAATGATTTAATTGAAAATTAAAACCCCTTTTAAAAAATACACAACCAAAGAAATAAATATAAATAGTTTAAATATTTAATGGAATCTTCTAGGTGAACATTCACAAGACACTGGAAAGCATCAACAGGAAAAGGAAGTTCTTCTGTTTCTGGAGTAGCTGTTATGGTATGATAATGGAATTTGGCTCTTTTAAAATCAACAAATTAGTCTTACAATTAGTCTTGAAATTCTCCTATTAGGAAATTCAGCAACTTTCTGCAGGAGCTCTATTGTTGCACTTTTCATCAAAATGTTTTTTAAAACCTGGCCCTCTAATTCAGTTATTTGATCTATTTTGTGTGTGTGATGTAATAGTTGGAAGGCTGACTTAAAAAAAAAAAAAAAAAAAGCTGAAATTTGGGTTCAGGATACAGTGCCATAATAAATTGAAAAACAAAATATGGTAAAGGAATAAATATACTTTATCTCTTAACCTACTATTCAAAAGAACAATAAGAGTAAGGAGAGCTCCACTTCAACCAGATATGGGCTAGCTCAATTCACCAAACACAACGATGCAATTTCATTAGGTACTACTACAAAGAATTCAACAAACCCACCTGCCACGTTTGACTACATAATTCACCTAGGATTTATATCCCTTAAAGGCAAATGTTTTTTAGAAAATGAAATATTAAAATATAGTAATTAAAATCAAGTGCCATGATTCCCCCCCCCCCCC